TTCCCCCCCCCCCCCCGGCAGACATGGGGAGCAAAATCCACCCGGGGCTCCAGCGGGTGGCTTTGTGGTTTTAGTTTTTTTCAAAAATAAAGGAGAGTTTTAAAAACCTCAGGCTTGTGCCAGCGGCAGAGTTCCCCCCAGGGCCAGGGCTCTGTTCCGGGGGTGTTTGCAGGGCCCTCTGCCCCATGCCCCGGCTGTCAAGGTCATGCCGGCTTCCACTGGGGTCAGCAGCGGGCCCCGGTTTTGGATTAGAGGCTGGAGTGCAGCGAAGTCACGGCAGGGGAGGGCAGGGCTGCCCCGTGGGGCCCTTGCATAGAAACCCGGACCGGCGTGTGAGTCTGTCTCTCTGTGTCCTGGGCCAGTTTGCAGAACGTGATTGGAGAGCTGTGCCCGCACAGTCCTGCCGAGTGTTGTGCGGGATCCAGGGCAGGCCTCCGTGGGATCCAGCCCCTTGAAGCTCATTTGGTTCAGCCGGCCTCGGTTTAATTTTGCCTTCAGCAGACATTGGGTTATTAACAAAGGCACCCCGGATGCTGTTGGGGGGGGGGCGGTCTTTCCGTGGACAGAACTGCCATTATCCTTTCTGGGAATTACGGTCTGGAACGGAAATGTCTGCCGGCTTCCAACCCGGTTGTTGCGTTTGGGCTCCAAAGCGATTTGTAAAGGAGTTCTCAAAGGCAGAGACGAAAGAAACTGTGACTTTTTCTCGTAGAGGCAGATTCCAAAGCCGATGCGAGTCTTCGTTTTTAGAGGGGAGCGTCTGATTTTTCTCTGCAGGTTTCCCGTTTTTACTTAACAAGCCATTGGGGCAGCGGGAAGTCACAGATCCGGCCCTGCGGCCCGTAGACTGTGGGGCAGCCGCCGCCAGGCAGGTGGGTCTCCTCAAGAGAAGGGGTCGGCAATCGCCAAGGGTGCCCCCTCCTCCTGGGTTTTCTGCCTGTTGCCGTTGTTTGGCCAGTCGGCACCCTGAATGTGCCCAGCACTTTACGCAGAACCAGAAGGTGGGTCTCTGCCCCAAGTAGCTTCCAGTCTCAAAGAGACCAGAAAGGGTGTTGGAGGTGGGAGGGCTTAGGTTGCAGGTGGGCTCCATTGGAGGCACCCGTGCTCAGGATTCATTTCTGTCAGGGAGGGGACTGATGGGGGAGGTGACTTAAGTGGGTCTGAGGGTGGGGCGTTGAGGGAAGTGAGAAAAGGGGCAGGGGGTAGTTGTATTTTTTTTCAGGGTTGCAAAGATTGGACTGGATCGGACTGAGAGGCTGAGCTCTCTGTGGCTTCTCCCCGTCAGGGCATGGCAAACTGTGGTCTCTCTCTCTCCTTGGGACAGTCTTCACACTGTAGGGAGGAATGTTCCCTCTAAGCTGAGTGAGGGTGAGCTAGCTCACACTCACTCAGCTTAGAGGGAACACTGCCTCTAAGCTGTGGAGTCTTGTGAGCAAAAATTCTCCTTTGCGAGCCACTGGCATTAAAGTTGTGAGCGAGCGACTTGGCTGCTGCATAAATCAGTTTGCTTTGGAGCCCCGCCCTTCCTGAGCCAAGACAAAAAGCTGTGAGCCGGAGGCTAAAAAACTGTGAGCTAGCTCACCCTCACTCAGCTTAGAGGGAACACTGCCTCTAAGCTGTGGAGTCTTGTGAGCAAAAATTCTCCTTTGCGAGCCACTGGCATTAAAGTTGTGAGCGAGCGACTTGGCTGCTGCATAAATCAGTTTGCTTTGGAGCCCCGCCCTTCCTGAGCCAAGACAAAAAGCTGTGAGCCGGAGGCTAAAAAACTGTGAGCTAGCTCACAGTTTTTTAGCCTCCGGCTCACAGCTTTTTGTCTTGGCTCAGGAAGGGCGGGGCTCCAAAGCAAACTGATTTATGCAGCAGCCAAGTCGCTCGCTCACAACTTTAATGCCAGTGGCTCGCAAAGGAGAATTTTTGCTCACAAGACTCCACAGCCTAGAGGGAACATTGCTTAGAGGGAGCACCCCGCCGTCATCCCAGGCTTTTGCATCGCTGCCCTCAGGAGGCAGAACGGTGGCAGTTTTCTTGGCCAAGAGCAGTTCTGGCCAAGGGCTTCCCAGCTGTCTCTTGGGACAGGTCAGCATCTCCGGTGAGTGCAGGGACTGTATGCGGGGTCCTGCATGAGACGCCATCAGCCAGCCAGAACATCGTAGGCTGAGCCAGGGTCAGTTTGGGGCATTTTCTCGCCCCCAGGCAAAGGCAGTTCAGGAGAGGGAGGGTAGGAAGGGTTGCCTCGGTCCTTAGTTCTCGTGGCCCTTTCTTACACGCCCAGGGAAATGCCGATCACCACTTTGGGGACAGGAAGCAGTTTTTCTCCAGGCCAGTTTGGCCAGATATCCTGGAGGGGTTTTTTTTGTCATCGTCTGGGAGTGGAACAGGGGTCACTGGGGTTGTGTGGGGGGGTATTTGTGAATTTCCTGCATTCTGCAGGGGGTTGGACTAGATGACCCTGGAGGTCCCTTCCAACTCTATGATTCTGTGAGACTGATCAAGATGGGTAGCCGTGTTAGTCTGTCTGTAGCACCAGCAAAGAGTAAGACTAACTTCTGTTAGACTTTGTTAAATATGCACCTCTGAAGAAGTGAGCAGTGACTCACAAAAGGTCATACCCTGCCACACGTTTTGTTAGTCTTTAAGGTGATACTGGACTCTTGCTCTTTTCTTGCTCTTTTCCACTCCCCCAAGCAAAGGACACCCATAGCCTCCTGGGTCTGCGCTGCCAGCAGCCATGTTCAGACTTCGCGCAGGTCCAGGCGGCGATGCTAGCCCCCCCTGGGTGGGAGTGAGCAAATGGACTGTGATGCACTGGTTCGGGGGGGGCCTTATTGTGCCCCCCTCAAGCACTTGCCTGAGTGACCTGGCCCAAGAACTGAGCCTGCATGTGGTGGCGGGGGCGGAGTGAGGGCCTCTGCTCAGAAAAGCAGGCAGGCCCTTGGGATCACCACCCGCACGGATCATTCGGGCGTGCCGGTGTTCTCTGAAAGGGGAGCACACGGAGAGCCTGACAGGCGTTACAAGCAGCACGAGTTCACCATGGGGAACGGCAGCTATCCTGTAGCTGCCGGTTCCGTGTGGCAACTGGGCAGAGCAGTGTGGCTCAGTGGCAGAGCAGTGGCTTTGCACGCAGAAGGGCCCTGCAGTTAAGGGATCTCTTGCGGCAGATATTTCTTTCTTGAGAGACGGCACGGTGCCGTACTTAGAGAGCTGGACTGGGACTTGCGAAACCCAGATTCGAATCCCCACTCTGCCCCGGAAGCTGGCTGGGCGACCTCAGGGGCCGGTCACACCCTCTCAGCCTAACCTACCTCGCAGGGTTGTTGTGCGGATAAAAGCAGAGGAGAGGGGGACAACGTAAGCCATCTTGGGCCCCCACCGGGGAGAAAGGAGGGATACAAATAAAGTAATTGAAATAGAAATAGAATGAAATTGTGAGTAAACACACAGCAGGGCCCAATTCAGATCATGACTGCTGCCTGGGAGAAATTCCTGCCTTCCCCCTTGTGCTGCTTTCGGGAGCTGAAACAGCCGGGGCGTTATTGGCTCCATTGGGAACACTTGCATGTGCTGGTTCCCCAGAGAGCAAATAACTCTCCCACCCCCCTGTGGCTCCCCCGGGCTGTTTCCACCACCGAAAAGACCACAGGAGAGAAGGCAGGAATTCCTCCTCCTCCCATGCAGTGGTGCCAAACCGAACTGGGCCCTGCTGCGCGTCTAGACGCGACTTGCCATCAGGAGCCAGCAACTGCAGTATAGCTGGCGAACGTGTGCAGTTCTTGACCTCTAGTTATGCTGTGACTGTCTTCCCCACAAGGGGGCAGCGTGGCGAGGGCCCTGCCCTTTTGGCTGCCGGCCTCTCGAGGTGAGGTGGACCCCGTGGGGCGGTGCAGACTCTTCCCTGCCACCTCCTTGCTTAGGAGCCCTGCATTCCCTGGCGGCATCACTCCCGCTTGACTGTGCCCCCGTCCGCAAAAGAAACGGCTGCAGCCGGGCGCTGGCGGGTCGTGGAACACCCATCCCTGCTGAGCCGGAGACCACAAGAAAGCCAGGGCCACATGGCAAAAGGTGCGTATGACTCAGCCTTCTGGTTTCACATCCGGCCAGGAATAGATGCCTGCTCCCCCTTGTCGTTGTCCCCTGTCCCCCCGCTTGTTTTAACTGTTCGAAACTGCTCTGTGTCTTGAAAGAGCCGTGCCAGTCGCCAGCAAGCCACGCCGGCCACCCCGGCCTCTTCCTGGCATCCTTGCGGCGCGCGAGAGCCCCCCTCCCGCCGCTGGCGGGGGAATCGGCCCGCCTCGTCCCCGCAGAGCAACAAGCTAATAAAAGATTGATTGGGAAGAGAGCTGCAATCTGCCGTGGTCGGCACTTCCTTCCCCAACTTCTCTCTCTTCCAGGGGGATGGGGGCAGCGGCCGGGGGGCCGTTAGCAAACACCCATTTGATTGGGCTGCTTTTATTTCCCCCTTTCCATTTCTTTATCTCCGTGATTTAACGGCCTGTCTGCAACCGTTCCCGCTAGAGCCCAGGAGTTGCTGGCCAGGCAGCTCTGCGCGGGGAGACAAGGGCAGGTGCAAACTTTCTGCACTCTGTCTCCTCCTCTCCCTCTCCCTTTCTCTCTCCCAAACTTCCCTTTTTGTGGGGGAATAATGAGGGAGGCTATGCAGGTAAAGGCCCTGACCCGGACGGCCCGGCCTAGCCGGATCTCATCAGATCTCAGAAGCTAAGGGGGGTCGAAAGTGCGGAGAAAGCTAATGCAATCTTAGGAGAACCAGACTGGTGTCGTGGTTAAGTGTGCGGACTCTAATCTGGGAGAACCGGGTTTGATTCCCCCACTCCTCCACTTGCACCTGGCTGGGCGACCTTGGGCAAGCCACAGTTCTGCCAGAGCTGTCCTTGAAAAAGAGCCGTTTCTGTCAAGAGCTCTCTCAGCCCCACCGACCTCACAGGGTGTCTGTTGTGGGGAGGGGAAGGGAAAGGAGTTCGTCAGCCGCTCTGAGACTCCTTTGGGTAGTGAAGAGCGGGGTATGAATCCAATCTCTTCTCTTCTTCTTCTTCTGCATTAACAGAAGCCTTGTGTCCCGATCACGGGAGGTGGTCATTCCACTCTATTCTGCTATGGCCAGGCCTCGCCTGGAGTCCTGTGTCCAGTTTTGGGCACCGCATTTTAGGAAGGATGTTGACAAGCTCGAGCGTGTCCAGAAGAGGGCAACCAGGATGGTGAGAAGGATGGTGAGAGGGTTGGAACCCAAGTCTTACGAGAAAAGGCTGAAAGAGTCGGGTCTTTTTAGCCTGGGAAAGAGAAAGCTTAGAGGGGACAGGATTGCAGTCTTCAAGTATTTGAAGGGTTGTCATGTAGAATACGGAGCAGATCTATTCTCTCTTGCTCCAGATTGCAAGACTAGATCTAATGGGAGGGAATTACAAGGGAGTCGTTACCGGCTAGATATCAGGAGAGACTTCCTAACTGTCAGAGTGGTTGAGCAGTGGACGTTTTCAAGCGGAGGCTGGACGACCATCTTTCGGGTCTGTTGTAGGGCTATTATCTTTCGGCTACGCTCCTGCAGAGTGCAGGGGGTTGGACTAGATGACCTGCAAGGTCCCTTCCAACTCTAACACTCTATGATTCTATGACCCTGGCTAGTACTCAGATGGGAGACCACCAAAGGAGTCTAGGGTCGCTACACAGAGGCAGGCAATGGCAAACCACCTCTGTACATCTCTTGGCTTGAAAACCCTACAGGGTTTTTAAGCTGGCCGTGACTTGACAGCACTTTCCACCCCTGCTGCTAAAAATATTGGCCTCACGCAGATGGCACAGGCTAGCCCAATGTCGTCAGCTCTTGTAAGCTAAGCGGGGTCGGCCCTGGGGGACGAACCAGTCCAGGGTCGCTACTGAGAGGAAGCCGATGGCAAACGGCCTCTGAATGTCTCTCGCCTGGAAAACCCTATTGGGGGGGGGGGTATACCATAAGTTTAATGCAACTTGACGGCCTTGTCCACTACTGCAGGGGTGGCCAAACTTGCTTAACGTAAGAGCCACACAGAATAAACGTCAGATGTTTGAGAGCCACGAGACAGGAACAGATATTACACGTTTTTACCGAGAACTATGCAAATTTGCTTTTTATTGACATTAAACGAGACTGCCGAAAATGATAACAAAAGCGGTAAAAGCAGATATTGATAAGGATACTGATTTGTCCAGTGATATTTGTTTGCTGATGATATTCCGCTTGCCCAGCTGCCCTGTCGGGAGCCGCGCAATATGTGTGAAAGAGCCACAGTTTGGCCACCCCCGCACTGCTGAGCAGGTAAGGCGCAGCCCAGTCTGTACGCAGCTCTCTGACCAAACAGAGGGGGTTTGGAATGCAAAACTTCGGGTTTATCCCTGAGCACCTGTGTATGTGTGAAGCGGCCTCAGACCGAGTCAGATCCTTGGTCTCTCTAGCTCAGTCTTCTGTGCTCGGACTGGTAGCAGCTCCTCCAGGACTCAGGCAGAGAAGGGCCTTTCCGGGTGTCACGGCTCAGGTGTCACCTGACACTGCCACCACTCTGGATTTAGGATCCCTTGAGAAGGCCCAGAGTACCCTCCCAAGACTTTCAGACCTCCCTTTTGGCCGAATAACAGGTGTGAGGACCAGGCAGAGTGAAACAGGGAAAAGGTTCATTTTATAGGAGGTCAAACAACAAGGTGCAGAATAATAACAGTAAGTGGGTGAAAAGAAAAGACATCAAATGCCCTAACGCGTCTAAATATAGACTGTCCCTAGCTCACTATTCCAAGTGACACTAGACTACTCACCCTTCCCTCAGGATGAGGGTTTCTTCCTGCAACAGCCTTCCCTCTGGCTCTGCCCTCTGGAAGAAAGAACAGCTTCTGCTCTGGCGCCAGCCCTTTTGTTCCCCATCCCTCCTCTTCCCTATTGGTCAATTTTGGCTCCAAAACCTCTCAGGGGCTTCTGGGAGTTGTAGGCCCAGCCTCACCTACTGCTAGCCAGGCTCCCTGGGCCTAGTAGGCCTCTGGTGGCACAGCCCAGATCATGACACCGGGCCTTCAAGCAGAGATGAACCTGGACCCTTGGGTATGGAAAGGAAGTGCTCCGCAATGGAACCACGGCACCGTCAGCTACCCTCTGGGGTCCGAGGCCCCCAACCCTCTCTCCAGTGCTGAGAGTCTCTGATAGATGCTGTGACTTCCTGTCCTCCACTCCACACCTGGACCCCGATTGGTCTCCAGCGTAGGTTGCGGGGTGGCCTCCAGCTTAACCCTGCTTGTGGGCTTCCTAGAAGCAGCTGTTCGACCTCTGTGTGAACAGAATGCTGGACTTGGTGGGCCTTTTTTCCGATCCACCATGGCTCTTTTGATATTCTCAGAGGCCAAGCATCCGCTTGGTCGTGGCCAACTTCGGCAAAGACCCTCTGCCCAAAAGTGGTGTTGCTGGCTACGGCTTCTCCACCCCGTAAGGCAGCATATCAGAGGACGATGAAGCCAAGTCCCAAGTCTGCTGCTGCGCTGGTCCGAAAAAGAGAGACATCCAAAGAGAACACTGCTACTCAGGGGGCTTCCGGTGGGTTTAAAAAGCGGCTCTCATGGTCTCCCGGAGAGCCAGGGCTGCCCCTCAAGGGTGTTTCTGTGGGCTGGGTCTCTCTGCAACAGTTAGAAACATAAGAATATAAGAGAAGCCAATGTTGGATCAGGCCAATGGCCCATCCAGTCCAACACTCTGTGTTACACAGTGGCCAAAATATACCAGGGGCCCTCAGGAGGTCCAGCAGTGGGGCCAGGACACCAGAAGCCCTCCCACTGTTGACCCCCCCCCAAGCACCAAGAAGACAGAGCATCACTTGCCCCAGACATAATATCATAAGAGAAGCCAGTGTTGGATCAGGCCAATAGTCATCCAGTCCAACACTCTGTGGCACACAGTGGCCAAAATATACCAGGGGCCATCAGGAGGTCTAGCAGTGGGGCCAGGACACTAGAAGCCCTCCCACTGTTGAGACGCCAATGTTGGATCAGGCCAAAGGCCCTTCCAGTCCAATACTCTGTGTCACACAGTGGCCAAAAACACCAGGGGCCATCAGGAGGTCCAGCAGTGGGGCCAGGACACCAGAAGCCCTCCCACTGTTGACCCCCCCCCAAGCACCAAGAAGACAGAGCATCACTTGCCCCAGACATAATATCACGAGTTCTTGTATTGTGAGAAAGGGAGAAAAGGACTTATTTCTCTACCTGCTCTATCCCATGCATAACCTTGTAAACCTTGATCATGTCACTCCTCAGCCGTCGTTTCTCCAAGCTAAAGAGCCCCAAGCATTTTAACCTTTCTTTTTTAAAAAATATAATTTTTATTAATTTTATAACCAAACAAACAAGAAGTTAACAGAGAATAGATACAAGTTTTCAGAAAAATTCTTCAGTCTGATATAAAAAAACAACAACACAAAACTCTAACATAGTCAACCAGAAAGAACTATAAACTTGAACAAGATACACTTTATATTAGATCAAAACTATGAATTCCCTAGGTAGTTCCTAGTAAAATACAAAATTCAAAAATCGTTTAGGTAATTCATATGTAGAATTTGAAGTATTAGCAACATATTCAAAAAAGGAAAACCATCTTGTTAGAAATTTGTTCACTAAAGAAGAAGAAGAAGACAAGAAGAGATTGTATTTATACCCCGCCTTTCACTTGGAGTCTCAGAGTGGCTTACAAACTCCTTTCCCTTCCCCTCCCCAGACAGAAACTGCTCTTTTTCAAGGACAGCTGTGCCAGAGCTTGTGACTGACCCAAGGTCACATCAGCAGTGCAAGTGGAGGAGTGGGGAATCAAACCCGGTTCTCCCAGATTAGAGTTGCACACTTAACCACTACACCAAACTGGCTCTGATGTGATGAAAGAATCTGTTCCGTGATCTTGTCTGCCGCTGCTAAATCCCAACATTTTGACACCCATTGCTTAATGGAAGGTGTTTTAGCCTGGTTCCATGATTGGGCTACATTTTAACCTTTCTTCATAGGGAAAGTGTTTAGAGAGTCCACCCCCAAGTGTCAAAGCTGGTACCAATCAACCTGCGTGAACCTGAGTGTACTTGGATGCTACCCTCCCGTGGAGGCTGAGCAGCAAACCAGGCCCTTTGATGGAATCACAAAGTCGTCGGTTGCATAGGTCCTCCAGCCTGGCTTGCATTCCCTTAATATGAAGGTGCTGGACGTAGCCCAAGAAGCGTCACCGCTGTTGGGCTCTGCTACCAGAGGCAGTAGTGCCTGGCTGGATGTGTCCAAGTCAGTGTGCTGGGCCGCGGACAGTCCGTGCCAGACACCCTCCTCATTCCTCAGCTCCACCGCATCCACCGGCATACGCAGTCCAGGAGGTTTTCGCATTCTTTCCAAGCAAGGCTGGTATTTGCAGCCGTCCCGAGCTAGCCTCTAATCGCCTTGGCGGATTGGCTGGCCGGGACTCACTTGGATTCTTTCCTTTCCAGGGGAGGTCTCCTCTGTTAAGGAGGACCAAATCGAATCTCGGGGCAAGCGTTGCACAAATACCGTCTTCAGTCCTGCCCTCCTCCCCCTCTCTATACAATGGTAGGAGCCAGCGGAATCACAGGATACAGTTCTGCCTGGACTGTACCACTGCACAGTGCAGGTGGGAGAGATGCACATTTAGACGACCCTCTCCCTCCTTCCCTCCCTCCGTCCTCATCAAAAACTTCACAAAGGAAGAAGCTTCGGTAGGGGAAAGGCTCAGATGAAAACCACCTCCTAAATATGCGAGTTCTCTCCCCTGAGGGGTGTGCATGTTTGTTAGTGCCACGATCAGCAACCGATTGTTAGTGCCATGATTAGCAACCGATTGAGTGGGCTGAGCTATTTAAAAGGCACCTTCCATTAAGGCCCCGTTTTCCTTACTTACAAAATCTGCATGTGGCGGGAGCATCTGCTTGGCATCTGCTTGGCATGCAGAAGGCCCCAGGTTCAATCTCTAGCATCTCCGGTAAGGACCAATCGCTTCTTAGCCTTTTGGCTAAGATCTTTAGAACACAAGAGAAGCCATGTTGGATCAGGCCAGTGGCCCATCCAGTCCAACATTCTGTGTCACACAGTGGCCAAAACCCAGGTGCCATCAGGAGGTCCACCAGCGGAGCACAAACTCCAGAAGCCCTCCCAGTGAAGCCCCCCAAGCACAAAGAATACAGAACATCACTGCCCCGGGCATAAGAACATAAGAGAAGCCATGTTGGATCAGGCCAGTGGCCCATCCAGTCCAACATTCTGTGTCACACAGTGGCCAAAACCTGGGT